ATTATGTTAGCGGTGCGCTGATGCAAGAAGAGAGATCAAATTATTTGCTTCATTGAGGATCGTCCTCAACACTGCACTTAACACAAAGAGAGATGGCATGAAATCTGGGAACACTTTTACGGGTTTCTATACATGAATGTTTAAATGTTTCTTTGTTCATGAATCTTCCCGCTACACTTACCATCTTCTCTCGCCGCACCAGTACGGCGTGCCGAACCCTTTGGGAACAACTGTGTTAAGTCCTGGTTTGTTGGTAGAGATTGGCGGTATTACGCTGCCCGGGTCTTTACCTGTTGGTGACCCGGCCTTGGCTTCCCACTGGGGGAGTGTCATTGACATTCAAAATGCTTTTCCATTGAATGAGGTGTTTGTTCCTCTTCATCTTCTAGGACCACTGTCCCTAATCATATCTACATTCCCTGTCCTCATAGGACTCGTATTGCCACTTACCCCGATTACCCCGCTTACGGGGCTTGTAGGAAGTGGCACATACCGTGAATGTCCAGATGGTGTTGTAGTCTCGTGTTAAGTCCTCTGGTAGGGTAGAGGACAAGCTTCGGATTAGTCAGGTGTGCCGGCACCCTGGCATCATACGAGGATGCCTGAGTTGCAATATTTTAACTGGGGAGTCTAACAAGAGGTGAGAAATGCTGGGAACAGCCCATGAGCCGGACTTGTAACAAAGCAGTCTTTGCTGCTTAATACAGTATACACAACACAGACAGATCATCTCATAGATTGTAATGAACACATTAATTACTTAACGCAGTATACACAACACAGATCATCTCATAGATTGTAACACAAAATAATTAAGTTACGTCAACAACTAGGCCATTAGCACCACGAACCTATTATTCAGGATGCCAACTGAGAGTTGTTACCTGGAGGTTACCTGGAGGTTATTCCGGGGATCAACGCCCCCGCGGCCCGGTCCATGACCAGGCCTCCCGAAGGATCAGGGCCTGATCAACTAGGCTGTTACTGCTGGCCGCACGCAGTCCAATGTACGAGCCACAGCCCGGCTGATCCGGCACTGACTTTAGGTATCTGTCCAGCTCTCTCTTGAAGGCAGCCAGGGGCTTATTGGCAATTCCCCTAATGCTTGATGGGAGGCTGTTGAACAGTTTTGGGCCCCGGACACTTATGGTGTTTTCCCTTAGTGTACCAATGGCGCCCCTACTTTTTATTGGGGGCATTTTGCATCGCCGTAGGGAGTGATTTCTGTGTGCAGATTTGGGACCATTCCTTCTAAGATTTTCCAAGTGTAGATTATGATATATCTCTCCCTCCTGCGTTCCAACGAGTACAAGTCAAGTGCTTCCAAGCGTTCCCAGTAGTTAAGGTGCTTGACAGAACTTATACGTGCAGTAAAGGATCTCTGTACACTCTCTAGATCTGCGATTTCACCTGTTAATGTACAGCAGTATTCTAGCCTAGAGAGAACAAGTGATTTGAAAAGGATCATCATGGGCTTGGCATCTCTCGTTTTGAAAGTTCTCATTATCCATCCTATCATTTTCTTTGCACGTGCGATCGTGGCACTGTTGTGATCCTTGAAAGTGAGATCCTCAGACATTACTACTCCCAGGTCCCTTACATTATTTTTTCGCTCTATTGTATGGCCGGAGTCAGTAGTATACTCTGTTCTAGTTATTATCTCCTCCAGTTTTCCATAACGGAGTAGTTGGAATTTGTCCTCATTGAACATCATATTGTTTACCGTTGCCCACTAGAAAACTTTGTTTATATCTTCTTGGAGGTTAACCGCGTCCTCAGCAGATGACAGCCTCATGCAGATCCTAGTATCATCCGCAAAGGATGATACGGTGCTGTGGTGTATATCTCTGTTTATGTCTGATATGAGGATAAGGAATAAGATGGGGGCGAGTACTGTGCCTTGTGGAACAGAGCTCTTCACTATGGCAGCCTCCGATTTAACTCTGTTGACCACTACTCTTTGTGTTCGATTTGTTAGGAAGTTGAAGATCCATCTCCCCACTTTCCCAGTTATTCCTTTAGCACGTATTTTATGGGCTATTACGCCATGATCGCATTTGTCAAATGCTTTTGCAAAGTCTGTGTATATTACATCTGCATTATGATTTTCTTCCAGTGCATCCAAGGCCATGTCATAGTGATCCAGTAGTTGTAAGAGTTGTAAGTTGTAGGAGCGACCTGCCCTGAACCCATGTTGCCCTGGATTGTGCAGATTTTGGGAATCCAGGTGATTTGCAATCCTGCTTCTTAGCACTCTTTCAAAGATTTTTATGATGTGGGACGTCAGAGCTATTGGTCTATAGTTCTTAGCTAATGCTTTGCTGCCACCTTTATGGAGTGGGGCTATATCCGTTGTTTTAAGTGACTGTGGAATTTCACCCATGTCCAAGCTCCTCCTCCATAGTGTACTTAGGGCACGCGAGAGGGGTTTCTTGCAGTTCTTAATGAAAACAGAGTTCCACGAGTCTGGGCCCGGGGCTGAGTGCATAGGCATGTTGTCAATGGCTTTTTCGAAATCTATCGGAGTTAGGGTAATGTCGGAAATCTGGCATACATTTATGGAGTTTTGAGGCTCATTCATGAAGAAATCATTTGGGTCGTCGATCCTCAGACCGATTAGTGGTTCACTAAACACAGAGTCGTACTGGGATTTCAATATTTCACTCATTTCCTTGTTGTCATCTGTGTAAGTCCCATCCTGTCTGAGTAAGGGCCCGATACTAGATGTGGTATTTGCCTTGTTTTTGGCATATGAAAAGAAATATTTTGAATTTCTTTCAATTTCACTAATAGCTTTAAGCTCCTCCTGCCTCTCCTGGTTCCTGTAAGAGTCATTAGAGACCTTAGGTATCTGTCCAGCTCTCTCTTGAAGGCAGCCAGGGGTTTATTGGCAATTCCCCTAATGCTTGATGGGAGGCTGTTAAACAGTCTTGGGCCCCGGACACTTACGGTGTTTTCCCTTAGTGTACCAATGGCGCCCCTACTTTTTATTGGGGGCATTTTGCATCGCCTGCCCAGTCTTTTACTTTCGTAGGGAGTGATTTCTGTGTGCAGATTTGGGACCATTCCTTCCAGGATTTTCCAAATGTAGATTATGATATATCTCTCTTTCCTGCGTTCCAACGAGTACAAGTCAAGTGCTTCCAAGCGTTCCCAGTAGTTAAGGTGCTTGACAGAACTTATACGTGCAGTAAAGGATCTCTGTACACTCTCTAGATCTGCGATCTGCGATTTCACCTGCTTTGAATGGAGATGTTAATGTACAGCAGTATTCCAGCCTAGAGAGAACAAGTGATTTGAAAAAGATCATCATGGGCTTGGCATCTCTCGTTTTGAAAGTTCTCATTATCCATCTTATCATTTTCTTTGCACGTGCGATCGTGGCACTGTTGTGATCCTTGAAAGTGAGATCCTCAGACATTACTACTCCCAGGTCCCTTGCATTATTTTTCCGCTCTATTGTATGGCCAGAGTCAGTAGTATACTCTGTTCTAGTTATTATCTCCTCCAGTTTTCCATAACGGAGTAGTTGGAATTTGTCCTCATTGGTACTAGTGCAGATGTGCACCCGGTTCCTGCGGCTGTTGACAACTACCACCACTCATGGAGAAAAAAAAAACAAAAAAATAGAAAATCATCAGCACAGGCAGGAGGAAACGCTAACTCCAAACACCAGATCCCTACAAAAAACTGTCCCGCCCCGCTGCGTCCGAGGAAGTCCACCACCAAGTCCATGGACATCTACGTGTGTTCCTGCTCGTAACAGCTCTACTAAGCACAATCAGGTCAACACTTTGATAGTTTTCATAGTTTTGGTGATAAGGTGAATAGAGTGTTCCGTGGCCTAGTAGGCAAAACTCTCGCTGTACACTGAGTGTCCGTGGTTTGATCCCCGGCACGGGTGGAAACATTGGGCGTGTTTCCTTACACCTGTTACCCCCGTTCACCTAGCAAGCAAGTAACTGTGTGCTAGTCGACTGGTGTGGGTCGCATCCTGGGGGGCATGATTGAGGACCCCAGTGGAAATAAGACAGCCCTCGATGTAGCGCTGACTTTCTTGGGTTATCCTGCGTGGCTAACCCTCCGAGGTTAAAATTCCGAACAAATTCTTATCTTAAGAACTGCCTCGTCAGTGTTGGCTTTTCAGAGAAACAGAACGATGGTTATGGCAGTCTACTCTGCGGGGCGGAACAGTCGCCCAACTGAAATATACCCCATCTTGAAGAAGACAAATACGATACCACAAGAATCTTCAGGTGAAAATTGCATATGATGCTGATAAGCAGTTGAATATAGACACGAAATGCAAACACTGAAGTATTGCATTGGGAATGTTTCCTCCCTGGGACTCAAGACACTCGAAGGTCCTTGGAGTGACCTGAGTCCCAGGTAAGTCGATGATCCTTGGAGTGACCTGAGTCTCAGGTCACTCGAAGATCCTTAGAGTGACCCTGGGACCCAGGACACTAGAAGGTCCTTGGAGTGACCTGAGTCCCAGGACACCGACGTTCCCAGTAAAATGTCCTGTTGTTTGCATTGTGTGTATTTTCGAAACTCTCTAAAAACAAGTGAAGGCTAAACGAAATGCCTTTGATTGTGTTTATTGTAACTGGTCTGACCAGCTTGAAGACCCAGGTCACCTTGACCTTCCATGTCCAGGTCCCCTTGACCTCCTATCTCCAAGTCACCTTGACCTTCCATCTCCAGGTCCCCTTGACCTCCTATCTCCAAGTCACCTTGACCTTCCATCTCCAGGTAATAATTATAATAATGATTATAAACATGTGACTCTTGTCTACACATGTTGCAGCTATTTGTGTTGTTGATTAAACATTTATTAAATTAATAGCAAACATTTTAACAAGATCTACTGTGTTAATGATAGTTGCTCCCCATAATTAACCATATTAAAGTCGCCCTTTCTTGCATTTTAACTTAAATAACCGATACATGTTGCATTAAATAAACTGCAGCATTTATCAATATGGGCTTAACTTTAATTTAATTAAAACAAAATTCATATAACAACTTGGGTTAACCTAACAAACCAAAAAAAACGGGCAGGATTTGAACCCATGGCGAGTGAGTCGTAAAACTCCAGACCAGTGCGTAAGCCACTGGCCTGGAGTTTCACGACCCACTCGCCATCGGTTTAAACCCCATCCGTTCCGTGGTTTCTTTGCAATCGCATTATTAACATTTCGTGAGTCTTGGGTTAACCTCTGCAAGACTGATGAGATGAACCCAAACTATATCAGTGTGTCGTGAGCAGCACACGCATGTGTGCATTTTGAAGGTGCTGCCTGTTCGTCTGACTTATCTGGAGTATACCTGGAGACGCCTGGTGTTCCAGCTGCTAGTTAAGTTCTCAATCTGTTGTTCCAGCTGCTAGTTAGGTTCCCAGTCTGTTGTTCCAGCTGTTAGTTAAGTTCCCAATCTGTTGTTCCAGCTTTCAGTTTCCCAATCTGTTGTTCCAGCTTTCAGTTTCCCAATCTGTTGTTCCAGCTGTCAGTACAATCTGTTGTCTCAACTGTTCTAGCTGTCAGCTAAGTTCCCAGTTAGTTCTTCTAGCTGTCAGCTATGTTCCCAATCCGTTGTTCCAGCTGTCAGTTAAGTACCCAAGGTACCACATCATAGTGGCCTGCGAGGACACCGGACCTAACTGTTTGTGACTTCTTTCTTTGGGGGTACGTGAAGAGCACAGTTTACGTACCACCACTACCTGCAACCCTGGAGGAGCTGATACTTTCAATCACTAAAGCAGTTCGCATGATAACACCAGATATGCTGCAGAGCGTCTGAACCGAACTGGATTATCGCATCGATGTTTGCCGAGCAACCAGAGGGACGCACACTGAGTGCCTTTAATGCTACCCTATACCACATGAAACCGAATGAAATCCTGCATCTGAAGCTACTAACTGTGAAAGATTATTACAATAAAGGTACACGTTATACCTGTTTGAAATCAGAGAGTGTTTTTGTGGGCACATTGTAGTTTGTTGAGGAATTACTGATCGCCATATATTTAAAGTCGCATTCTTTTTTTTAATAAATATAACTTCCTTTTTTATATATTTTTTTTTTCATCCGGTGTTGATAAATTACTTCTAATCACATACTTTTAATTGCACAACTAATAGGCCTTAGGCCTTGTCTCTCTGTATCCAGGTTATTTTGTCTCTCCACATTTCCTTTTGTACCCAGGATTCAAGTCTTCTTGTCTGTCCACATCGTCTATTTCTAGGTCCGGATCACAGTATCCCTTCAGGGTCGCCTTGTCTGCCCTCGTAATCTTACATATACCCGTCCTGGTCGCCTTCTCTCTCCAGGTCCAGGTCACCTTGTCTCTCTAGGTCCAGGTCACCTTGTGCCATCAGCACATCGAGTTCCGAAAAGTAGTTGAAAATGCTGAAGGGGCACCTATGACCATAGGCAAAGATGCAAGATTCGGGCTCCTCCAGCCTCCCAGTCAGTCGTGCTTCTCTGTACTCCACCATCTCCTCTCTCTCGTCCTCTCCAGGCCTGCACAAGAAAACACCTTATTACATTTCTGGAACAATACCGCCAAGTAGGTGACTAAGACACATGTGTAAGACTTGGCTATCTTATTATGCAATAGGCAGATCAAAGAAGGAACAGAAGTCACATTAAAACAGCAGAAGACAGAAGCAGGATCACAACAGCTATGCAATTCAGAGAAGAAAAAGTCACAATACGTGACTGGAACAATTCACAAATAACCACTTAGGAAAGGAACCTTACGATGACGTTTCGGTCCATCCTGGACCATTGTCGTGTCACATTGGTCTAGGAGAGATCGAAACGTTGTCATAGGTATGCTCTCCTTAGTGTAGGTTATACGTGAGCTAAGGCAAAACAATTTTCACTCAGTAAATGATGGCTTCCATATGTAATATAAAGTAAATAACACACACACACTAGTGCACCACAAGGACATTGTTAATGCATGTATGAGAGAGAGAGAGAGAGAGAGAGAGAGAGAGAGAGAGAGAGAGAGAGAGAGAGAGAGAGAGAGAGAGTGTGTACTCACCTAGTTGAGGTTGCGGGGGTGGAGTCCGAGCTCCTGACCCCGCCTCTTCACTGATCGCTACTAGGTCACTCTCCCTGAGCCGTGAGCTTTATTATACCTCTGCTTAAAGTTATGTATGGATCCTGCCTCCACTACATCGTGTGTGTGTGTGTGAGAGAGAGAGAGAGAGAGAGAGAGAGAGAGAGAGAGAGAGAGAGAGAGAGAGAGAGAGAGAGAGAGAGAGAGAGAGAGAGAGAGAGAGAGAGAGCACTCAGAAGCAAGTAGACATTATGAATACTGACGTGAAGACTGCATTTATCAGCTGGCCCACAATGGTCCACTCCTCTATGGGATACTTCTGCACCTCGCAGATGAACCGTAGTAAACAAAATCGACCGTCTTGTCCATAAGAGTTGTCTAACCTGGCTTCCAGCGAGCGGTAAATGGACATCTGGTCGTCCGTGAAGGTCCTGTGGGCACATGGAAATGACATCAAGCACAATAAAGATGCCCACGGGTATGGCAAATATATTACCAATGTACACCACGGGAAGCTAATAAGACACGTGTGCAACACCTGGGTAGATACCACATGAAGATACGCAGGTGTTGTATATGTGGCTTATTCATCAGAGTATTATGAGCCCATTTGCATGAAATAATTTTTTTAAAAATAATTATTAGAGTTAAACCCGTGAGAGCCAGATTGCGCAGAGGGTGGTGAAGGCTCGATCCTCCGTCCACTAATGGCAAAGCAAACACTCTATCTACTTCTACCCATTTATTGTCCGTACAGCAAGCACGCTCTTATTAGGGCAACGTTTCGCTAATAGCTGAGCTTTTCTAAAGCTTTTTCAAGCTCATCGTTGAGCGAAACTTGGTCACAATAAAGACAACCTTTCAAGTCCTCCAGGACGTTTATCAAGTCACATCGTCGAGACGTGGGGCCAGGAACCGAAACTCGAACCCCACCGCCTTACATGATATGAAATAGTTCTCAAGAAAAGACAACACGGCTTGAAAATAAAAAAAAAAAAATGAGAAATATCCTCATCGGCTGAAAGGAGAGAGAGAAATTGAGAAAAAAAACACATAAAAAGGAATAAGATTTTAGTAACTCTTTTGGTAGGTTAATAGGCCTCCAAGATTGCACGAGGGTCATTGAAGCTGCTTGTCACCTTTAATACCTAAAATTGGGACTGAAGTCTCAGGGATATACGTCTCACTGTATATATCCTGTGATGTTTACTAGAAAAATAGGTAAATATTTACAAGTAAATAGCCAAAAGACAGAGGACTTGGAAGCCCATACCGCTGAGAACTGAACTTTAAGCAAGAAGAAAATGAAGACGAAGAATTACATACCTCTAACTAGATTAAGAACTATCGTGGATTCAGACACATGTGCAACAGTTGGGTATCTTTATTGATGAAATTTTTCGCCTACACAGTAGGCTTCTTTAGTCAAATGCAAAGGGAACAGTATTAATGAAACGACCAGACCATGGAGCTGAAGTTTTCTCCAGGCTGAGGGACTGATCACCTAAAGTACTTTTTCTCCGAGGTTGATGGACTGATTACATCATCTTTATTTCATTACTACTGCTCCCTTTGCATTTATTATTTAGGCGTTTGAGGAAGAGAGGGCGGGGAAGCTATAAGAAAAATCTGAAATTAAGACACATGTGCAATATCTGGGTATCTTTATTGTAGATGTTTCGCCATCCAGTGACTTTATCAATACAAATTCCAGGACATAACTTGAAGACAGTAGAACTATATACAGAAGACGAAGTAATCAGTCCCTCAACCTTGGAGTTGGTGCGAAGAGCACCGTAGTCGTGGAGATCCTGAAGCAGAAGCAAGGAGCCTGGCGTTTTTATATTAATGTCAGGTGGAAAGGAGACGTGTAGCAGACGAGGGTAGTCACTGGTAGGCGGGATTCCCTCGTCTTCTGTATATAGTTCTACTGTCTTCAAGCTATGTCCTGGAATTTGTATTGATAAAGCCACTGGATGGCGAAACGTCTACAATAAAGATACCCAGATGTTGCACATGTGTCTTAAATTTATCTTGTCGGTATTATATACCATTCTTGTACAACAAGAAAAATCTGGTTGTTAAGGAAAGGAAGACACAGATGGAAGAGTATTTATGGAGGGAGGGGAGTGAGAGAGTTATCTACTTCTCCATAGATTAAGAACTATCATGTGTACCTAACTAAGACGTACCTGCCATACTTGTACTCCCGAGCGAGTGCGTCAAGGATGATAACGAAGCTGACTATTCCCAGGGGTATGTTCCTAATGGTTGGTACGCCGTCCTCATCGTTGTCGGTGAAGATGGGAACACCGAACTGATTGTTGAAGACCAAGTAAGGCCGAGTGAAGAGCCCAGGCAACGCAGCTGTCAT